GATAGTATACCACTGGTCGGCACATAGCAACATAGACTCTGTGCAACTGTTAGAATGTACATTTGCTTTCTATAAATTACGACGACACTGCCTTGCTCATACTGTGTTTTTTGCGTGGACGTAAAAGCTATGGAGAGCTATGACCATGTCCTGCTGTACCTGCCTCGGCTTGATGCCAACGTCATACAACGCCGCGTAGATCAGTGCGCGTCTCATATGCTTTCAGCTTGCGCCTCTCGAACCTCCACCTCCCACTTTCATTCCACCATCGCCAAAATGCTTCACTTACTTCCAATTTCGACGCTCCTGCTCGTGACGCAGGTGATCGCGTCACCACTCGCACGCAGCGATTCCAAGCCCCTCCCACTGCTCATCTGGCACGGCTTAGGCGACAACTATGCCGCAGACGGCCTGCATAGCGTAGGCGACCTCGCAAACGAGACGAACCCCGACACATACGTATACTACATCCGGCTTGATGAAGATGCTGGAAGCGATCGAACAGCCACATTCCTGGGGAACGTTACAGAGCAGATTGCGCAGGTCTGCGACGACATCGCGGAACACGCGGTTTTGAGCAAAGCCCCAGGCCTCAACGCGCTTGGCTTTTCGCAGGGCGGTCAGTTCCTCCGTGGAATGATAGAGCGATGTGGCGACAGGATCAAAGTCAAGAACCTGGTCACATTTGGTAGTCAACACAACGGCATCGCAAAGTATCAGCTTTGTAAAGATGGAGACTGGCTTTGCAAGGGCTACATCGGGTTGCTCAAATCCAACACCTGGGGCGCATGGGTGCAGGGGCACCTGGTGCCAGCGCAGTACTTCAAGGCCACGAACGAGACGACTGGCGAACCCACAGAAGAGTATCTCGAATCCTCCAACTTCATCGCCGACATCAACAACGAGAGGGTGCTGAAGAACGTCACCTACGCGAAGAACCTTGCCGCGCTTGACAACTTCGTCATGTACGTGTTCGAGGACGACACCACTGTCATACCCAAGGAGTCTGGCTGGTTCGCGTACACCAACACTACCAGCAACGAGGTCACGGATCTGAGGGATCGCGACATCTACAAAGAGGACTGGATTGGGCTCAAGAAGCTTGACGAGAAGGGTGGTCTACACTTCAAGACAACCAAGGGCGGACACATGGATCTTGGTGATAAGGTACTGAAAGATGTCTTCAAGACCTATTTCGCACCAGAGAAGACATTGTGGGATGGTATCGTTGATGAGGTTCAAGAAATAATGGAGTTGTAGATGGGGAAATCATATGGCTAGCCTCACTGCGGTAACACAGGCGTGGAGTCGGATTGAATTTACATGTATGAATACACACGCAGGTACGACGAGCGATCATAATTTCACGTTTTCATCTCAAATCAGATTTTGGGCACCATGACATGTTGTCTGCTGAGCATGGATCAAATAGCGATGATGTATCCAGCTGTGCCTGGATTTGATTGTTGTCAAGATCATCTATGTATGATGTAGGGTGAACAACTCTGAAATCTGTTTTGAAGCAAGGTATTCAGGTCGAAAACAACACGAAAAAGTGAGCTAGTTCGTAGCCTTCTACAGCGGATGATCGGGATCGGACATTCTCTACACAGCGTTGGAAACAACCACGCAAACCAATAATCCTACGACTAGTCCTCCAATCATGGCGCATTCTTGCACGCACCTCCCCTCCCCCGACCGGGGTTTTGCGGCAGACGTCATGTTTGGGTGGGTCATCATGAGCATCAGCCCACAGCAACACTCCACGCCGACGCCGGTCGAAACGAGTCTAGTCTTGGCCTCTCCATGCTTTAAATACTCCAAGTCTCCCCAGAAACTTCAATTGACACGTCTTGCCCATCGCGGCTCCTCTCCACTCTATATTTCTTATTCCACGCCTGCGCTGAGCTTGACGCTCCACGAACAGCTTTAGGCTTATCGATAAGCTACTAATCCGATCACGATCGTCACGGCGGAAGAGAAGAACGACAGGAACCAAAGATGTCGGTCTCAGCAGCATTGAAGAGCCGGGTCAGGAGGCCAAGTTATCTCAAGAAGATTGCGAAAGCTGAGGACTTGCTTCACCACTTCCCCAATGGAGCCTACATTGGCTGGAGTGGCTTCACGGGTGTCGGATATCCAAAGTAAGCATTTCCATTTCTCTCACGCTACTTTATCGGCCAAGCTATGAGGCTCTTCGGGTACACGAGGTAGCCCTGACTACGGCGTACGATGTCGGACCTACTTGGTAGTTCGATCTTGGATCCCGAGGTGGAACGGAAGTTTAGGAAGTGACGAAAGCCGAGCTATCTCCGGCTCCACAATTCGAGCCGCGCATGGATCAGGTCAAGACGAGCACTCAAGAGCCTTGGCCATGACTCTCGCCATACATGCCTTGATTTGAATGGCCTTGTCTATTGTGTTGGTTAAAGTTTTAGACTAACGGCATGGCAGGAAGATCCCTACGGCTATGGCCGACCATGTCGAGAAGAACAATCTCCAAGGTCAGCTGAAGTACAATCTCTTCGTCGGTGCATCGTCAGGTGCGGAGACTGAGAATCGATGGGCACGTCTTAACATGATCGAGCGCCGGTCGCCGCATCAAGTCGGTAAGGAGATCGCCAAGGGTATCAACAACGGCAACATCAACTTCTTCGACAAACATCTGAGTATGTTTCCCGTCGACTTGATGTACGGGTATGTACAAACACGCAGAACTCCACGAAGAGGAAACGATGCTGATTCCGAGTAGCTTCTACACATTGAACAAGCCCCACAACAAGCTCGATGTCACCATCGTGGAAGCGTCGGCCATTACCGAGGATGGTGGAATCATTCCAGGAGCCAGTGTTGGTGCATCACCCGAACTGATCCAGATGGCCGACAAGATCATTATCGAAGTCAACACCGCAGCTCCCTCGTTCGAAGGCCTACACGACATCACCATGACTGATCTGCCGCCGCGCCGAAAGCCTTACCTCATTATGTCTCCAGAAGATCGCATCGGTACACCGCACATTCCTGTAGACCCAGAGAAGGTTGTGGCTATCGTAGAGAGCGACTACCCCGATCAGACCCAGCCCAACGCCGCCGAGGATGAAACCTCAAGGGCTATCGCTGCGAACTTGATTGAGTTCTTGAAGCATGAGGTTAATCATGGCCGTCTACCGGAGAACCTCCTGCCCATTCAATCTGGTATTGGAAACATTGCCAACGCTGTTGTTGGTGGACTTGCCGTATGTTCTCTCCTTTCTGAATGATTGATGCTTCATACTGACAGACACAGTCCGGTGGTGCAAACTTCAAGAACCTCAAGGTATGGACCGAAGTCCTCCAAGACTCCTTCCTGGACCTCTTCGACTCTGGTAATCTGGACTTCGCGACGGCAACTTCGATCCGTTTCTCTCCCGACGGCTTCCACCGCTTCTACGAGAACTGGGATCGCTATGCGCCTAAGCTGCTACTCCGTTCTCAGCAAGTCTCCAACTCTCCCGAGATTATTCGACGTCTCGGTGTCATTGGCATGAACACGCCTGTCGAGGTCGACATCTACGCCCACGCCAACTCAACCTGTGTGATGGGTAGCCGTATGCTCAACGGTCTTGGTGGATCCGCCGACTTCCTTCGCTCTTCCAAGTACTCCATCATGCACACCCCCTCATCGCGTCCTACAAAGACCGACCCAACTGGTGTATCTTGCATCGTGCCCATGTGCACGCACATCGACCAGACAGAGCACGACCTCGACGTCATCGTCACGGAGCAAGGTCTCGCTGATGTTCGTGGTCTCTCCCCCAAGGAGCGTGCCCGCGTCATCATCAAGAAGTGCGCACACCCCGACTACGTACCTATCTTGGAGGACTACTTCAACAAGGCGGAGTTTGAGTGCCTAAGGAAGGGCTGGGGCCATGAGCCGCATCTGCTGTGGAACAGCTTCGATATGCACAGGCATCTGAATGACCATGGCACTATGAAGCTGCCCAAGTGGGACTACAAGAGTTAGGAGAGGGGCATGTAGTGATAGAATACGATATTTGGATGTAGAGAATGTACGCGATCGACTTACCCTAGTAGTAGTCCATATGAAACATGACAACGTGAAGTAGCAGATGAATCAGCTCATACGTGACCAACAACAAGTAAAACAGCATATGTGCTTTTTATGGTACTCGTCATGTCGTGGACAGACATGCTCCTTGCTACACTTTCAACCTCACTACTGCGACCATCAACGCTCTCGTCGATCCTACACGACACCTCTTTTTCAATAACGGCATGTCGCGTGTTTGACTAGCGCGGCATCGGCGACCATGTTGCACGCGGCTCGACTATAGGATGGAGCGCTGATGCAGGTGGATTGCCTCTTCTGCAGCTGGTACCACGGATGCTACCTCGGACGAGAGCATGACGTGGGCGAGGGTGTTTGATGCAGGTGTCGAGCCAGAAAACTCTGCTCAGACCAGGCGTTTCCGTGCAGATGGCATGGACGCGCTCTTGCCGCGAAAGTCGGGATCGTTCGCTCGTTGGGAAGTGGATTGCCACCGCTAGAGCTACCCGGACGTGGACGCGTCGGCTGGCACCATGTGACTGCGCGGCTCACAAGCGGCGTCAGGCTCTTGCAGATGAGCATGCGCCCGGCTCTGCCCTCTTCCACCACACCGAGACGCGACGCAAGAGCCTCACAGCATCCCTGACATCTCCTGCCATTCTCTGCGCGCCCTTTGCAAGTTGTTCCGCGGCGCCCAACAAGGAACTGCTCCCGCCCGTTCGCGCGTCTTCCCGCTATCTCGCGTGCTGCGCACGAACACGGTCCACGGTGCTGCTACGACACGTCTCCGACCATCCAACTCCCACCGAGACCCGCCATTGGGACGTTTGCTACCCTGACATCCTTACCTGCATCTGTATTTTTGGCGCAGCTGCTTCCACTTTGACGGTGAATTGCACTCACAGCGCGAGTCGCTAGTTGCCTCCTACCCCGCCGCCACGCCCGCGAAACCATGATGCGTAAGTCGCGTTCCCCAAGCCGACTTAATTACCCCGGTACTCACGCTGCCATTGCACCAGCAGAACACGCCCACGCCACCCATACAGCAACTATTGCTACCGTAAACAACGCAGAGCCCCAGGCCTCGCAGGAGTCAGTCCAGTCTGCTGTGTCTAGCACCTTCTCGGCACCGGCACTTCCCTCCTCGTCGAGCAACCTATCCACGGCCACCACTACCGAGACCGACCTCACGACCCCGTCCTCGACCAATGTAGCGAGCCAAAGTAAACCTACCGAGGCCCCAATGCCGGAATCGTCAAGTCAGAGTACTGGTGGGCAGGTGCGAGCGGCACCACGCATCGATACCGCTGCTGCCAACGCGCTCCAGACTGGTGACACAGCAGCTGGTCCCATGCCGCTAGAGTCTCCAGCAAAGAGCTCCAAGAGGACTGTAGATGGATCTCTCAAGAGCGCTGGGCTAGCGCCTGAAACTCCATCGGCGCCCACCCATTCACACAAGAGGAACAAGAGCATGGATACACACTCAGGTCGCATTGGAGAGGTGCGTAGTATAGCTTCAGGCCAAGCTTACAGTCTGCTAACGCGAACGCAGCTATCCGCACAGCTAAAGACGCGTCTTTCCTACGCCATGGTCAAAGTCCAGAACGGCTGGGAGAAGCAGTCGCTCGACGAGTTGGAAGAAAGCCAGTCACAGCGTGGTTCGCCCAACTCTGCTCCTGGGAGGACTGACCATCTAGCATTCGAATCCCCTGCTACCGTCGATCGACAAAGAAGACCGAGCGGCGTCTCTGACATCTCAGACCAGATGATCATGTCCCCGGCTTCTGATCCGACCCGGTCACTTGCAGGGACTCCAGCTTGTTAGTCAACCCCAAAGACTCCGTCTGAAAATGCTAACACCCGTCAGCCTACTGGCGACCAGGTACCCGCCCTGCTATGAACGCCGCGGCAAACCTCATATCCATCACTGGCGCACAACACGGCTATGGCCTCGCACCAGCCCCAACCTTCCAGAGTGGGCGAAGACGACGCTCCAGCGTCTCGCATGTGCCCCCTCCGCTTCTCGGCGCCAGCCAAAGGAAGCACTACAGTGATGTTGGCGCAGGTCCACGATCACCAGCTACTCCTCGAGCAGGCATCCTCCGCATGCCCAGCCAACAAGCCGAGAAGGATGCCGTCGATACACTGCTCTTCATGAGCAGTCCCAACAATTCACAGCGCTTCCCAGCCGGCGGTCAACCAGCACCAAGTCCACTCCGAGCCGAAGCACCGCAACGACGCGTCATGTTCGAAGCATACCCACCACAAGACAAACGCGCCATGTACCAGCCATCGATGCCCGCACCGCCCCACCACCACCAACACGGACCGTACCCCGCGTACCCAGCGAGATAACAGTAAGAGCGTCTCCGATATGAGAATCCACTCCCCATCCTCTCTTCAACACTATTCTTACGGCTCGACGATCGCATTGCATGGCTGGCGTTGAGATACCCCACTGCACGTATGTCCACATTGTTACTGTCAGCCACCAATCTCCACACCGGACGCATATGTTGTTCATGCCTCGGATGCTTTGGGAGGTTGTGTTGATATCGCTTGGCTCCCCTTCTTGTATGAGCTTTGCTCTTCTTACGCTTGTATACTTTGGCTCCCTGGCTATGGCTGTTGTTGGCCTCGAGTAACATCTGTATGTTTGAGCGTGGGGATATGTTATGAATAGGTATTATGATTGTGTAACGAATAGATGATATATGTATATTCTGATGTGCGGGCGATGGTGATGTGTGGGGTGACGGTGTGTTGAGATGGGTGCATGGGACCGATGGGGTCGTTACAAGAGAGAGTGATGGTAGTAGCGCGACTGATATGTGGACGACGTGCGAAGTGCGTGCAGTATACCTAGGTATATATATATATCTATATTTATCATGTGATCAAGTTGCAGTAAAGATCACTTGTATGGACATTCCAAGCTGTGTGTGGGTCGAAAGGCTGGAGGGAGTTATGAACGAAATATGTCTCATACTCGGTAAGGTCTGCGTTTGCACATGTACGCAGTTCTGCACATTTAACATGTCCAAATAACTGATCTCCGCTGCGCCTTGATCACGACATATCTGCCCAGGTGGGTATCCGTACTTTGCCGCTTGCGTTCGCAACCAGTAGCTGAATTCCAATCGCCACACAGCCTAACAGCTAGTCCTCCCTTTGCGTGGAGCTATTTGACTTTCTATCACTTGCAGATTCTATCATCCGGGAATAGGCAGTTCCGGTATCGCTCGCGTTGTTCGTGTCGTAAGTATGTCGTACAAGAAAACTAATCAGGGGCGCTGCAATCTACATTGGTGAAAAGACCCGCCGATAACAAAGGCTTAATGCAATGTAGACTTCTAGGAGGCATGTTCTTGACTTAATCCTCGAACGATATGCAGCAGTCTCACATACCTTAGATTTCAATGTCATCTAGTTCCAGGCATAGCTACTGCCACGGAATGTTTTGACTACACAAATTGCATGGGCTCCGGCACATTGTTTTCTGAGACTACAGGCGACGAAAGGTTCTGTTTCATCGACACGCCTCTTTGGTGTGGAGTGCGATGCTCGATCACTTTACATTACCTAATGTACTATTTGCTACATCTACTTTTCATGACACTGTCCATTGATCTCCTGTCCTTGTTGTTGGACGCGTCGTAGTTTACATGTACGTTACAGTTTTTGTGACTCTAAGCCTGTAGCCTGCAGTCACTGGCTCCAATTTGCAGACTACGCATTCGCGAATCTTGGGGTGCATCAGCGAATGGAAGAGGTTTACTGACGACACGGTCTTTTTCGTATCACAGAAACTGGGCTATATTACAATGTTATCTCCCTAGCTAAGTTAACGTGATGGTTTACTAAAAGCTAACACATTGTCTCCCTAGGACATATGTAAAAGCCAGTCAGATTGAGCGGGCTTGTGGTAAGCATAACTGATTTGGTGTTATGTACTTAGGGCAAAGATGAAAGTAAACCACCGCCAAGCGAGCCCGGGATTCAGATCGTTGGTGTTGGAGAAAAGCAAGGGTTGTTTTTAGACGATACAAGCAAGAGAGGGCCTCGTTGTATGATTCGTCATCTTAGAGTTTTGGTGGGAGTGGATAATTTAGCATGTCTAGTCAAGTATTGTCCTTCACCACCACCATCATGTTAACCCCTCTTTTTTGAATCTTGTGTTGGACGAAAACTTCCAAAATGAAAGCTTGACTTGATTAACAGCTCTACGTGTTGCGGTAGCGTTCTCATTGTGATTTGTAGTCGTTTTAGGCCGATTGGTGTGGAAGTCCAAAAAAAGTCCTTCACGGCCACACCACCAACACCCTCCTATTCAAGACCATGATGATCGACGAGGTAGCAAAAAGAAAGCCCGACGTGGGGGTCGAACCCACAACCTTGAGATTTGATACAATCGTGTCTGTTAGGACGTGATAACTAAGAGTCTCACGCTCTACCGATTGAGCTAGCCGGGCTGATGTTGCTTTCGATGGTGGTTTGGCCAAATACAACGTGTATAATGTTACGATAAAACTCTCGAGCTCCCTCACAATCGTATAGAGTCCTTGGATGTGAAGTTTGGATCGAGATGGAAAATTTTGTTTGGGCAGGCGGGTCGGGACTTATCAGATTTTGCCAATACCCGAAAACCCCGCCTTTGCCAACCAGCCACCCATCCATCCGGTACACGGAAAAGGCAAGCTCTTTACTTGCTCATGTTACAGTTCGGGCGCGCTATCGTAGTGTATGCATCTCTACTGAATCCAGCACAAGGACTACTGCAATGGTCGGAAACAATAGATGTGGCTCCAAAACCTTACAAGTCGTTCGCGCATCACTGTTCTGCCTTGTAAGGCATGTTTTTGCTGCCTAGTCAAAACATGCAAGTAATATGCACGACACCGCTCCAGCGGACACCCTTGTCAATCTCGTACGGCACGGATTCTAGAAAGAGACGAGGTATGCCTCCCGCATTACTGTATTGCGACAAGAGACGCGTGCCAACGGTGGCGAAGCACGAAGATGGTCTCATAGAGGCGCATATAAGCTCATCGTGCATGAGCTTGAGGGATGTATACGAGCTTACTAACGGTCGTTAGACCAGCCTCCCTCGGTTGATTATCATCCTCGATGCATGTAAGTTTGTGATGCACACACGTTCGGTGCTCAGTGCGTTGTGGTGTACTCAGGGGTCCGATCCGACGGGTAATATTTGAAACGTCGATGGTATGCCGCTTAGTGGTCTGAATACGAGGCAGAATGGGAGGCTTTCTGGACCTGCATCGCATGGGTCGAGGATGATACAAGTAGATGGTGCGCTTTGGCCGAGAGACGGTCAGTATTATCGGGTCGACCAAGGATTCATTCCGATGTAGTTGCGATTGGGCCGATCGCTCGCGTGCAAGGGGTAAACACGTGATGTCATCCTAACATCAAGCTGTGCCGCGCAACGCGTCAAGTCGAACCCAAACACTCGAACAACTCCGTGCCTAAAGTCTTGTCGGTGAATCCGCTACTTTTCAGTCATATCCTTGATAATTTAATGTTCGACCATGCCACGGACGCGAGGCGACGCAAGGAGTGGCGCTGATGCGGAATGCGTTGCCAGTCAAGATCAGGAGAAACAGCCGAGAGACACTGCGTCTGGAGTGCAAAACGCGGAGTCCCCGAGAGAATCTGCCGGTCAGAAGAGGAAAGTGACATCCGAAAATGAAGCATATGCAAAGCAACGCCGAATGAGCGAAAGACAGGGAACAGCTGCTTCGGTACGGGCCGAAAAGAAGGAAGAGCAACCGAAAGAAGAAGATCTGGAACAGCAGAAACCACGACTCACGACACCAGATCTGGAATATGATTCCGATCGTTCCAAGCTACGTGACCCGAGACCAACTCCGGGCCGCAGGGCACGCCCGCGTTGGGATGACATCAGTGCGCCCCAAGAGATCAAAGATTGGGTCAGCGACACCTTCTACATACCCAAGCCCACGAAGCCTCCTGGACGTCTGAACGCCGCCCTTAAGGATACAATGTTCAGAGATGAATGTCGGCTGAACCCCTTCGCACATTTCCACAAACTGTATATATGCTATGACAAGGGACGCGAGGGCTCATCCACATACGATCAAGGCGGCTTCGAGCTTGACTACGAGAAGGTGAATGATTGGATGAAACCACAAGCCTACAACAAGAGAAAGATGGTGCGTGGCATGGAGAAAGCAGTCGAACGACGAACGACTGAGCAGCAGAAGATGTTCGATTTGTTCTTTTTGGCCAAGTGGAACGATGACAGAGGTATCGGTCACTCCGTGGAGAACTATGTCAAAGACCAGGTGTCAAAAGATATCGGCGTGCCATGGCATCAAATCGGTCCGGAGCACGTGCAGCAATCGCGTGACAGAGGCTTCGAGCCTGTCAACTTCTACGACTGGTGGAAGGAGCCCACTGAAGAGGAGGAGAAGAGAATGATGAACATGATGTCAGGAGCTAGTTTGAGAAAGGACCTGTAATTACATAACCATCTCTGAGGAAGTTGTAGGGAAATATCACTTTGACAACACGCGAGTCTTTCCCCCGCCCATATGATCCAAGCTAATCTCAACTCGTCCCATTCTGCCGCCGGAAAGACGTCCATACATTAGGCCCTCCGAAGAGCACATCAGGCCGTCTAAAGCGGACCGTCTCACGGCTAAGCGAAAAGCTTAACCTACAGATGCCACGCGTCTCAGCAATCCCGCTGGCTCTTGGTAAGGCAAACAGCGAGGCGGAGTCCCCGAAGTGTGGTCACCTGGGTCCCGCTGTATCGTTTCATGTACTGTAATGTACTGTAACAGTGAGATGTAGCTCTCGGTACATGGGTTTTGGGCATCTAGGGGAACGTGCCGCGTAGTCCAGCTATTCATAGTAATCTAGCTGCCTGAATTTTCTCCAGGGTATGTGGGGTGTGGGGTGTGGAGTCTCTGATACAGTGCTTGGAGAAGTGACGGAATGTGGAGACTTTTGCTCACTCGGTATTGACATCGGGTACGTGAGTGTACGTCCGTTCTTACTATCAAAATCGCATTGACGACACTGTCAGGCGGTCTTCTCCGAAGAGTAAGGGGAGATGTTGTCACAGCAGCGAGCATTAGTCTCGTAGGATCAAGTGACGACCTGTAGACTACACTCGCCTAACGCGGGTATCGCCCTTGACGAGTGACGGAGGTAGACGCCTTTCCTTCGTGTAGAGTCTAGTGCCCTTGCGTCCCCATAGCTTCAACACGGCCACTCCGACCTCATCATGCATACTAGCTCGGTGTCATCACCCACGCCAACACGTAGTCTTCATTCAAGCATCGCCGAATACTTCGACGGGCGATACC